TGTGGACACAGCTGGGGCTGCCGGCAAAGGCTGCGCTTCCTCACTGGAAAGCACCTCTTGCTGGGCTGGTGCCTGGGAAGCAGCCGGGGCAACACTGGCTTTGCGCTTGGACTGCTGTTTGCACACCTTCTTCAGCTCCTCGACGTTGTGTGTTCCCGCCCCGGCGCACACTGCCAGCAAGTCGTTGGCCTTGGACTCGTCATTCGAAGAAGTGATGCGTCGCAGTTTCCCGTGTTCATCCGGAAACATCACGACATAGCACGTGGTGCCCAGAGCATATCTATTCTCTGCCTTCACTTGGCCTGCCATACTTCGGCCTACTTGCTTCAGCCTGCTTGAGCCTTTCACGTTCCAACCTACTTGGTTGACTTCCCATTGTCTTTTGTCAAAGCGCTGCCCTACCTCTTCGGCCCCCGCCTGCACCACGTGGCTGGCAACCCAGCAGGTGGCGCTGCCCGTTGGCTCGCCCGGCCAGTGGGCCAGCCGGCTCGCCCGCGCACAGACCAAACACACACACACACAGGCTCCACGAAACAAAGTCAGAAACGCGGTGACTATCAACACCAACTAGCTTTCAGGCTTCCATTTGTGTTGGAGCTTCTCGAACACGGGGTGCAACTCACAGGAACCCAAGACTATTCGAACCAAGTGTCTTGATGGCTTCTAGGAGTATCGGTTTTGTCCTCTGTATCGGTTTACAATGGTTTTGGCCCACAAAACAAGTTAAGGGACGGCCCCTTACATAACGAAAAGGCGCGGGGTATTTTTTTCAGCCCACGTGGGGTTGCAACATCCTGGAATGTGACATGCAGGTTGGCAGAGGAAGCACCGCCCGAGTCAACACCAGTTGTATGATGAGGACCCACTTGAGGTGCGGCACTATCTAAACCCTGTTGTGAGGATCTATCAAGTCCACTCTGCTGGTTTGCTTGGTCTTGCAATCCACTGGATGAAGCCCCCGTTTGGTTACCCATTGACACATCCTGTCCACCCAAAATGGGGGAGCTCCAGTTATGCGACCCTTTGGGTTGAGGGGTATTAGAATCCGTACCATTATCGGTTTGTGCTTGCGGGGCACTTTGCGGCGAGCGAGTCGGAGGCTGACGGACTTCAAGCAAAAGGGAAACCGTCCTTTCAAGTTCGGCTAACCTAGACGCTTGCTGCAAATCCTTCTCTTGCAGAGCTAGAATGGTGGCATCACGTTCGGCTACGGCACGTTGTGCTTCCTGATAAAGGTATTGGGTCTGAGCTTGGGCCTGGGCCTGTTCAGCATTAGCTCTGTTGCGAACCTCTGCTGCGTACCTTTCAGCTAAAGCCCTAGTCTGACCTACCTCTTCATGGGCCTCGGAAACGACTGTTTGCGCCTGAAGCCTAAGCACCTCGGCCTGTTGCCTGGTTGCCTCCTCTTGCTCCGCAGCGCCAATGGCTTGCTGCCTCGCATTGAGCTCGTGCTCACGTGCGTAATTCACGGCCTGTTGAGCTTGGGTTACAAGGTTCATTGCCTGATGCCTAAACAACCCTTCCCTTTGTTGGGCGGCTTCCCGGAGTTCCCCCGCCTCCCTTCGGGCCTGCTCAGCCAGCAGTTGCTGTTGCTGTGCATGTTCAGCGGCCTGAAGCGCGACATCGGAAGCATGGTGGGCACGTTGAACGGCGGCACCCGCAACAAATGCAGCAGCTGGGAGGTTCTGGGTTGGATCGGGCGTTCCAGCCGGCTCTGATGAGGATGGTTCTGAAACGAACATGCGCCTAACAGGGGTTGCATCGGAATCTGGTGCAGGGCTATTAGGGTTATGCCTAACAACAGACATGGCTGGCACCATTGCACCCGCAAGGTCTGGGTCATCATAGTCTGTGCCATGTGAGGATCTAGACCTATCTTCGGATGGGGGTGTAATGCCAGAGGGATTCATGCCTGAGCCGCACGGATGCGATAGCTTTTCCTGCACACGCGAACCAAGTCAGTGCGCCAAAGGCAGCACTCTCCAAGGCCGGTGATTTGTGCCTGGTGGGATTATGAGATGTGCGCTTACGGCTACACTCAAAACAGATTATTGAATGATGCAGCAACACACTCAGTCACACAAGGATTGATATGCCTCACTAATTGATAATGGGGAATCTCCTTTGAACCTAAACTTCTGATTGCAAATTGGATGCAAATGTGCAGGCTCACCAATGCAGTTGTGTGCAATTGGAAATGTGTGACTTCGTGCGTCTTTGCGCCACAGTTCTTCGGGGCGCCAACGGCTGCCCCCTGCACAGGTTGGGAAAAATATCCTAGGTGCGCCAACGGCTGCACCCCTGTCGTGAGCACCAGGTGATTTGCTACCTGCGGACCTCCTCAAGGAGCTCTGCGGCAGTAAGTGCACGGGCAGGCTGGATGGTCGCTCGGTCGGCTTGATCCAACCACTGCTCAATAGCAATCAACGCGTCCAGAGTCCCTTGCACCCCCTGGCTGGGGTACGCCCGGAAAGCGTGCGCGCCTGTAAGTCGCGCCTCACGACAGATTGTGGCGTTGTCGTCCACAAGGATGTGTGCTGCCCAACCGTGCAATAGGTTTGCTTTGCCAGCAACGCCAACCCTGGAGCGCGTGAACTGCGTTGTGCCCACGTAGATGCCCTTGTAAGCCAAGTGTACCCTTGCTGTGGCGATCTCCGGTGCCGTAGTTCGTTCGCGCTCCACCCCACAATAGCTGCAAATAATCCAATTGAACGGACCGTGAGCTGTCTGTAGACGAATCAATCCGTCCACGATCTGTGGGTGAAGCCTTCCCCCAGAGCGGATGTTCACGTCGAGCACCCCGTGCCAGTCCAGGACGATGTTGAGCGTCTTCCGGTCCGCAAGGGTTGTCCGAGGTGGGGGATCTGGGATCCCGTGGCTTTCTCGCCTTGGTGGAGGAGGCTTCGGTGGCTCTCGCTTTGGCGGTTGTCGCCAAGGTGGGTCTGGAGCGCCAGAGGCTGCTCCCTGCCCTTTTGGTGGCAACCTCAACGATGCCGGCGGCTGTTTGTACCTGATGTGTGGGCCAGGCCGGCTGTTTGCAGGGACAGAAGCCTTTCTGGCTGGCGGTGCCGCTAAGCGTGGGGGCGAAGAAGATCTTGCTTTGCTCAAAACACGTCCGCGACTGCTTGCCAAAAATGCTGCAACTGTCCCCCGCGCCGCTGGCCGCGGTCCGCACTTTACTGTGGCTTTCGTAGCAGGGGCCGAAGGTGAGGCCGGCACTGTAGGTCTATGAAACGGTGCCTCGTATACCCCACCCGCCCGGAATGCTGCTCTGCCTGAAAGCAAATCTTCTGTGTTGTGCACCGTGTCCCCGTCGGAGCAGTCTTCCAGGTGGTAGACCTCCGCGTTCCCGTAGTTTGGGGTCGAGGAACTAGACCTTTCCCCGTAGGCCTCGGGGCGGAGCCACACGTCCGTCGGCAGTTCGTGAGGATCACTGAACTGCGGTAGACGTGAGCGGGCTCGGCCTGCAAATGCCCGTGGAGCGCCGGAGGGCTGCTCCCTCTGCAGTGTCCACGTGCCGGTCCGGTCGATGCGGACCGTCGGATAGGCCGAGCTCCTTGGCGCCAGCACGATCGGCCTGTCGGTTGGCGAGGTCCTTGATGGCACACTCCTCGATCTGCCACGCGAGGATCGACTGGTCGTCGGTTCTGCGGGTTCCCGAAGGCTCCCGACTGCTCGACTCGCCTGCCGCGCCGAGGGCTGCGGCCTCCTGGATCGGTGTCGGAGTTCTTGACCGAGAGCGAGACCTAAGCACGATGGGTACTTGGGAATAAACTGCTCGCAGAACTTGCCTTGACACTGACCGTGGGGAGGTCGTAGATGTCCTTCTCCTCGGAGCTGTACCAGTCACCGCGCCTTGGGCTGCGGTCCTCGCTGTAGGCAAAGCCGGAGCAGACAACCAAGCCTCAGCAGGTGAAGCCTGCTGGGCCACGGAAGGCTGCGCCGCCTGCTGCTGCTGAGGTGGTGTAGATGGAGTCGGACACGAGGGAGTGGCAGGCACTGGATTTGCACCTGCCGCACCAGTGGCTGCGGCCCTCCGTTCTTCTTCACGGATTGCCCGGATGCGAAGGGCCGTAGGCTGATGCCACCTGTGAAGCTCCTCCCAGCGCTGCTCGGTGACGTCCCGGTTCCAGGCCCGAAGGGCAGCAAGCTGCACCTCTGATCCCTGTTCCCACTGCAACTTGGGTGGTGTAAACCCAAAACGATCACGTCCTCCTGGAGCTCCCACCACACTCGCTTCTTGTTTGCGGCTCCTCCACGGGTACCACGTTTGTGGTACTCTTCCTCGACGGCCATGCGCCCCCTTATGGGGGAACCGCTGAGGGAGGGCCTAGTTAATCCCGAAAGAAAGGCTATACGGCTGATAACCAATCAAAAGAGCAAGAAACCCCAAACGCGCGCCGAAGGCTGCGCCCTGAACAAAAAGAGGTGGATTGACCGTGGTTAATCCCTCAGCGGTTCAGGGGGTTGTCTCTACACTCTAGTTCCGCACTCAGCGCCCTTTTTCAGTGAGCGCTTGAGCCAAACGGCGTTTGCCGTTTGACAAGTCTGTCATGTCATGCAACCCTCAACCTAAACCAAAGTGGCCTCATGCAAACCTCACGCCAGTGAATACACAACTAGGCAAGTTACCATGCCTTTGGGGGCAAAGGGGTCGTTATTTCTTGACTATCATTATCCTTAGTAAAGGCTGCATTGTTGTTTCTGACTGGATACTTGGTAAATGCGACTGAGTGGAAAATGTGTGAGCAACTGAACACTATTATCCTAGTCCACATGGGACCAGGTGAGAGCGGGTTTTTGTGCAACATTTAGTTAGTCAAACAATGTCCGTCCCAGACTAAGAATAGCCAACTGCATATGGGTGTATCCTTTCTAGGGGACCCCCCGCATGGTTTCCTGTTGGCTTTCGTTTAAACCAACCCCAAAAAGGGTGCCTCCAAAAAGCAGGGACCCGATTTTTGACCAAACTCGTGTAGCTACCGCGCATGTCACCTTGCCTGGGACCAGTTGCCGATGGTGCAGCAGGAAGCAGGCGATAGTGTCCTCGCTCAATAAACCAGCAGTCCATGGGCAAAGACGTGGCTTGCCTTCATACAGCCCAGTCACATGGTATCACATGGTGCATCTCTCTCTCTCTCTCAAATCTCAGTCTGAATCCGGCAAATGGTGTCGTGTAGCTCCGTTCCAAGGCGCCCAAATGTGGAAAGTCCCGACCGGATGAATCACCATTCCCCTGACTGGGGAGTTTGGAATCACGACTCCCTTACCTCTGCCGCCAACAAGACACTCACTTCGAATCGGCCTGGATGTAGAAACGAGGCAAACAAGCCACACAAAACAAAGCATGTGGGGTTTATCCCTCCAAAATGGGCCACAGACTACTGGATAGTTTGACAAATCCTCAGCATTAAACCCACTGTGAGGGTGCGTCTTTTGGGACTGTACCTTGTTGAGAGCTGGTTTGAAGAAACCCCCTTTAAAACCACAAAAAAAGGTACCCTCCAAAAAAGGCACACCCACATAATGTTTAAGCCACGGTTGTTTAAACAGCCTGTTATTTTCCCCAAGGCAACCCATGGCCTGGCTGCAGTGCTTTTGCTGATGACCCCTTTGCGGCCAAAGTGAGCTAAGGGGGGTAGAGCAACCTCATGCCAGTCAGTTGGGTGAAAGTGATGGCGCCCAAAAAGCAGTAGATGGCGCGAAGTGTCTCTGGGCCCTCAAATTCTCGCCATGTCGTGTTGAAATTTGGGGCTGTTCGAAATGAGGCGACCTATCCAATTTGCCACAATAAGTCTTAGGGGACACCGCTTTAACAAACAAGGGACCCCTGTCGTAACCCAAAGCAAGCATTGAGGACTGCAGTGCAAGAAACCCACTAACTAGGCGGTTTGGAGCAATTCAAACAAACACCATCCCCTGTGGCCCCTGTTCAATGTGGGAGAACTCCTCTTTACAGGTGGCCCCTGAAAGTCCCCCACAAAAAATAACGTAACGATTTGTTCCCTTTCAAAGGGAGTCAGCGTTCAGGGTCGGCACAATGTCTGATTCCCTGCCTATCGAAGAAGCAAGTTGAGTCATCCCCTTTGCGCAACCTCCATTTGCTTAAGTCCCCTAGAAAAAACAAATATTTCCAGTAGTGATGGATTCCCTTTAAAACCAACAGAGGAAAATTAAAAATATTCTTCACCAAATGGAAGGCATGGAAGAGAGGTTTCTACTTGCACCCAGCACGCTGTCCTGAAGAGAGCCACCAGAGTCTTCGTCTCCGGAAGCGCCAGCAGATCACACTGCTCGTCTGTCTTCAGGCCTCCACCATGTGCTCACTACCGACCCCTTCTTTTTGGGTATGTCAACCCCTAGAGACCTGAAAGAAACTCTTGCAACATGGCGCCTGAAAGCACTTGAATGCTCAGTTCATCGTCTGTCAGACCACTTGAGCAGCGCCAAAAACCCATTGTCTTTCGGTTCTACCAGCATGCTTCTAAAGTTTTCTAGAGGCCTTCCTATAACACCCGTAAAACTTGAGGAGCGGGTGAACGAAAGCTAGCAGTTGTTGCATGAGATGGGTCGGTGACAGAGTGGATTCATAGGTAGCTTGTGTACAACGAGAGGCCCGGCAAGATTCGTAGGATGCGACACGCAAACGCACATGGTGGCGTGGCAAACCTTGAAAACTGAAAACAACGAGAGGCGTCAGAAGCTGTCTTAAAGCACCTCTGGGTTCTGCATGCAGCGTGTGCAAAGATTCTTGCGAGGTGGTTTACCGAGAAGACTGAGGTCTCAAATGAACAAGCTGAATCGGTGGAACATGTAAAAGTTCGTAGCACCAAGTCCAAAACGGGCAAACCGAGACTGCTGAACACTGAGCCACTGCCCGGGGGGGGGGGATGGACCAGGGAGGAATCGAGCCTGAGACCCGGGGGGGGGGGGGAGGGGGGGGGGGGGTCTAAATAATTGATGTTTTTCAATCTTTTGAAAAAATCAATCTTTCGGCATTTGAGCCCCTTACCTTGCTTACGCAAGGAGAAACTTCAGCTAGCTAAAGCTAGCTTTCGTGAACAGGTAGTAAGTAGAACCAACCAAAAGAAGCAGCCAATGGGTGTTGTGGGCGCTGATCAAGTGAGCTAAGCCTGATGCTTGCACAGCCCTCACCCTTGAAAGCAATGCATGCGTTGCGGGGCTGGTGGAACATCCGTGCACTTTCTGACCGCTGTCCCTATTTCAACCACTGAAGCTCAGCCCCTGAGTGCCTCCTTGGACACGAAACATGTCTCATTCTCAAGCACGACACAAAGCAAACGCCTCTGGGCATGATATCTCTGAATGTAACATGGTTGCAAGGGTCTTGACGTGGCGCTTTATGTTTGGAAGCACCCATGTGATTTCCTAGACTAACATGGAGCCAACGAGTCAAGGCACTACACATCACTGACTCACCCGTCAATGTGGCAGGATCGCAACCAACAGTCGCGATAATAATTACCCGACCTACTGCGCGGTCTACGTCAACCTTCCCGTCCATGTTAGACAAAACAAAATCAAGACGTCAGACTTTGCTTGGACTTTGCTTGGCCTTTGCTAGCCAGCCTCCTGAGTGTTCTGTGTTGTGACTCTTTCCGGAAGACGACAGATGACCGTCGCTGATCTATCCGAAGCAACAGACCGAACGAGAACCCGAAAGAAGCCAACAACAGACCAACCATCACAAAGCTATAAGCAGTAGTAGATACATAAAGACATGTATACAAGCGTCGCAGTAAGGAAACTCCTTGATCCTTCCCCTCTTCCAGCTGAAGGGTTCCTTGTATGGCCTTTCAAACATCCTCAGGCCAAAAGGAAGCACATTCTGAATGGGTCCAAAGAGGCACATGAGACAGAATATCAGGACGCCTCGCAGGGACCATTTAATTCTTGACCTCTGTGGTTCCGATACCCCTGTTTATAATGTACACCGTGTTGAAGGCTACTTCTTCAGACTTCCCTAGCCCGTCAAACATCACGCGCGAGACTTGTGGGCCAAGAGGGTGATGCTAAAACTAGAAAGGCCGAAAAGCCCACTAGCATAGGACATCTCGAACATATTGGTGGATTGCTACCCCTGCACTCCTGGTTGATTGCTACCAAAGGGGACTGCTTGATTACCCCCTGGAAACCAGAAAAAGAAAAAACTTGAAGGCGCTGGGCCCTCTGCCCTGGGCCTGCGCACTGGCACCAGTTGTCTGTTTGGCCCTTGCCGTGGCGCCACAGCGCTCGCAGCTTCTCGAAGTCGTAGTGCAAAGCGCCGGCCTCGCGAAAAATTGGGGTTGATGGGTTGCTAGGTGGGTTGCCAGGTGGGTTGCCAGGTGGGTTGCTAGGTGGGTTGCCAGGTGGGTTGCTAGGTGGGTTGGTGGGTGGGTTGGTGGGGTGGGGGGTGGTGGGTGGGGTGGGGTGGGGTGGGGTGGGGTGGGGTGGGGTGGGGTGGGGTGGGGTGGGGTGGGGTGGGGTGGGGTGGGGTGGGGTGGGGGGGTGGGGTGGGGTGGGGTGGGGGGGGATGGGATGTGGGGGGGTGGTGGGGTGGGGGGGGGGGGGGGGGGGGGGTGGGGTGGGGTGGGATGGGATGGGATGGGGTGGGGGGGGGGTGGGGTGGGGTGGGTGGGGTGGGTAGGGCAGAAGGGGGTTGGGGGTGGGTGGGTGGGGTGGGAGTGAAGGTGGGGGTGGGGGTTGGGGTGATGGGGTGGTTGAAAGGAAGCACCCAGAAAGATTGTCACAAATAGGGGGCCCTCTTTGGGTATCCCCGCAAAAGGCGACACAAGGCGGGTCCGAAAAGGGGCCATATGTTTGACAGGTTTCTGCATTGGTGCACAGCTCACTACCCTCCAGCAGGTCAACATGTCCGTGTTTAGAGAAATCTTCTTGCGGACACTCCCCTTTTGTCTTGTGAGTTTGCAAGAGAGCGGCCACTTGGCGAGGCTGACAGGTGTTTACTGCAAGTGGGAGGGGCCCAAGAAACCCAGAGGATCCTCTTATCCTGGTGCCGCACATTTGCAGAATTCTGACATTTCTACTTGCCAGGACACCCTCCTTGAAGAAACCCCGAGGAACTCGTGCACGAAGACCCTTGCCGCTGAGGCTCCCAGCATTTGTTGCGCCCTTGCCCCATGGATGCATGCCCCGCGTGTACTCCTTCAGGCGCCAAGGACGCGTATCTTCGGAAGCAGGGAGATCGTTGCACCTTCCAATCCAAGTGGTGTGTGTGTGTGTGCTTTTTAGGGCTTCCTTTTGCCAGTGGCTTTCAAGGGAGGAGGAAACCCACCCAACTTTGTGGGGTCTCCAGTTTGAACGCACAAGTGGAGAATTGTGGAAGACTTTCATAGTGAAGGGGACACGAAATGACAGGATCGGTCCTAACTGCAGAAAGAATCAGTCCACAATGGAATCCTCATGTCAGAACATGTCAGTTGATACAACTTGTCCAGCACAAGTTGGGACTTGTTTCGGCCCATCCAGAAATAAAGTCACTGATGAGTTGGGTTACAGCCCCAAGCCGGCCAAGCAAGCACAGCAACCCATGCCCAAGGTGACCAAAAGGTATCAAGCACAAAGCTAGAAGGCAGTTTCCAAGTTTTCTTGTCACGTTTTAGAGCCATATGGCTGTGGGTCAAAAATAGGTACCCAAAATGGAACCCTGGCAAGTGGAGACGTAGACTAAAATCTGCGGTCTCCCGGTGGTTGAATTTTGACCCATGCTCATATTGGCTTTGCTGCGATTCGCTCAGGGCGTTGAATGTTCACCAAGCTTTCGCGTGATTCAGGCAGCTGGGAAACAACAATGACTTTCATCGTGTGCTGTTTCTGGCCTTGTGCTTGAGCATTGTCAAAGCTTTCAACCCCCCAAAGGGGCCGCTTGGCTTTGCGCTTCGCACGAGTCGCATCATGCAAGAACGGAGCAGCAGGATTCAGACATTGAAAACTGATCCTTTGCCAGGATGCTGCCGGGCTCAATGGGAGATGTAGCAATGCTGTAGCGAATCTAACCCAAGTTGCATTCTGCTCTGCGGGACAAGGGCGGAACAAGCGTCCCAGCTACCAAGGCGAACAACTTGTTAGAGCACATCGTTTCACAATGCAATAGAAGCGTCAACAAATAGCACAACATGCCTGTTCCATGCGGGGCTAAAGGGACCCCACGCGTTTTTGCTGGGGGTTTCCCTTGAGACAAACCCATTTCGGTCCTGAAAGGTCACGTGGAATCGGCTGGGCAGCACTGGCTTGGGCACGTGAGCGTCGATTGGCTCCGCCTCCTGCGTCATCCTGCCCGAAGCTCGGGCAGATTGGGATGTGAGCCAAGGTCCTTTTTGCCGTGGCCTCCGGCCAGAAAAAAAGCCACTGCCAGAAGCCACACCTGAATCACCTGAACATGAAGTTTGTAGGCCTTCATGGCTGGACCAAACAACCGACAACCCCGGACCTACGTGGGTTGCATAAGCTGATCAGCTGGAGTCGGTGCAAACATTGACTGTTGTACGTGATTCGGGGGCTTACTAGCAAATGCTTGATTGATCAAACTTTTGCAAAACATGTTGGTTGTGGACCGTTCTAGCAATTTGGACAACCATCGTAAGGGTGGTCAACCGATATGGATGTGCCCAACCCAACCAACTAATAAAGCATGACAAGGGAATCATGATGACCCACGTAAGGAGTGAGGGCACTGACACACAAAGACGAGTTTCGTAGATGCAGGCTGCTTGGATGCCCGGATTCAACAAGAGTGGGATCCACCAGGGAAACAGGCAGAACCCACCTCAGGCACCGGATTACCCAAACCAACGACCCAAGACAGTTCGTAGGGTTCAAACGAACCCCTGCCCCTCAACCCCTGTCGGTTTCCCCCAAAAAAAACAGACCCTAAGAAATATGAAAAACTGGATGGCGAACGGTGTTGGGACGTACCCTCGTACGACCCCTCCCGCCTGAGATGTGCCCATGCTGGCACCTAAGTTGAGTTTGTCGATTCCTGATGGCCGTCATATGTTCGTAGACTGTATGCCCCCACGGCTTCCCTTTCAGATGCTGTCCTTTAAGATTTCCCCTTCTACGCCATGCCAAAAGGCCTGAAGTTTGGAACACTGAAGACCGCTTCTGGAATGTGCTTTTCCCGAAAGAAAGGGAGCACCAACCATTTTGGGGGTCCATATCCAACGTTTGAAAACCCGAGGGCTGCAACTCGTCCCTGCACAAGGCGCCACGCCGAGCGGTTTGCACGATTGCCATTGGCAGCACGAGGCATTCGTTGCTTATATGGGCGGTCGTGTTGAGGCTGGGGGTGCTTTAAAGGGGCGGAAAAAGGACACAGACCTGTTTAATGACTGGACCACTCCGCGCAAAGTGTGACCAATTCAAACAAAAACAAACACGGCATGGCCATGAAAAACATAAGTCCCGGGGTGGCTTTTGGGGAAATCCAAACAGCCCATGCTGCCCGAGAGATGCAACTTCACAAATGTTCAAGGAATGTGGTGCGATTCACGGACCAAGGGAACCTCAAAAGGACCCCCAGGTGTTTCTTAAAGTAGGGACAACCGTCAATGGGTAAAGGCGGCTAAAAAGTGGTCCGCCATTGGAACACCCCCCCCCCCATCCGGTGAATAAAACCAAGAGGTCTCCCCAACACCCCGGCATTCTCCCGGAGCCTGGGTCCATAGGTGTCGCTCTTGGATAAAGAATCTCGCTCGACATTCAAACCTATATCATTAAAATATGTCCTCACATATTTTTGGGCAGCAAAGCTGAACAAGTTGGCTGACAGCAGATGGCACAAGTCCCAACCGTTTTGGTTTAGGAAGCTGTGACATGTGCTTTCACCGTCTAAGATGTTGCCAACCGTTGTTCCAATGGAAGGAGGATTCTCGAGATCGTTGGCAAGGCGCCAGTTGCAACGCGAGCGCAAGGCGCCAGCTGCATGGAATGGCGCTCATCTCTAGATGCGGAACACGGTCCCAATAGGAAGCTGATATTTTCGTAACATGCTAACAAACACATATCTAAATTAGATTAGATGCCATGGAGCAACGATAAGCTATAGTATGTACAAAGGGAAGCCCAAGACAGTCTCATGGCGAAAGGCAAGTGCCCAAACATCCTCCCAGCCTCCAAATGGCTGCACGGGGACGGCTCTCCGGGTGCCAGATAACCCATCTGCGATTCTTGAAGACCCACCCACCGCACAAAGCGGAAACACCGATAGTGAACCGGTACGTATGGTCGTTTTACCCCTGCACGACTATCCAACCACCAACAGGGGGTCTCTATTGAAAACGCCAACATGGGTGAGATCACACAACCTCTTGGTGAGCTCGAGCTTTTCCCTGAAACATACCTTGGATGGGAAACATCGGCGCTCATGCACCATGAAGCAACTACAAACACTTCTGCGACTAGAAGCAGGGTTGCGGGAATTACCCACTTCTGTGATACCAATATTGGGAGCTTCCAAATGGGTCCACTGAAAGGGAAGGTTTCCTGGTATCACAGAAATGACGAAAAACCCGAGCATTCCCACAACCATGACTAGAAGCCATTGTACATTCCGAGCATTTGCACCCCGAGAATTGCTGTGCAGGCCGAGCTGCCTGTTCATAGCTTGTCAAAGGCATGATTCACACAACTTCCTTCAAAGGCTGCCCCGGATGGTTCCAAAGCGGCAATACTATATTAGACTACAGTGTAATACTTGTATCAGTTTGTTGAAGCCCAGGACACATTCCGTCTTACTCAGCATACGCGCAGATGATTTGCATTCATAATGACCTCAAGCTGAGCAAGCAACAATCGCACCACACAAAATGCAGGAAGGTGTTGATTCCCGTATGCCGACCCATCCCCTTACAAACAACCACTAGTTCTGTATAGGTTAATTGCCAAACTATGGTCTGACTCCGAGCGTTGACGGCCTTGAAGACTCTGGCAGGGCTGGCACAACTAAAGGTCCTGCACGCATGCAAGGTCCGGCCAAGCGAGAAGGACTCTGTAATATGTAGGGCTCCATGTGAAATGTCCACAAGTATTATGCTGATGGGCAACTATGGTATGTCAAACCAATGACGACTCTGTAAGCAATAGAGAAAGAGAAGCCGAAAGGCCCCAGCACGGTCCTGTGTGGCTAAGTTTGGTGACCCACATAAACAGGGGCAGGCATCAGTCTTCGGTTCTCGGTATGCACCAGTCAGGACTTCCACCACAGGTGCCGGGCTGTATGACACATGTCCTACTTCTGGCGTTCAACAAACCAGTATTAGTAGCATGTTTTATGAAGAAAGCAATCAAACAATCATCTCACAACCCCTGAATGGTTCAATCCAAATATCGATCGCGAACACGTCCAGGGTCGCGAACGATGTGTTTTCATCTTGGCCACAGAGCCATTCACATGCATTTCAAAACAGCATTGCCAGTGGTCAATGGTTGTGAAATGATTTGGGGACCGTCCCTACTCGATGGCAGCAAACTGCCAGTATTGGCACTGACATCGCTGAGTGAGTCTCATTCCCTGAGCCAAACAAAAAGCAACATTATTTGAAGGTTGAATTGAAAATCCAACAGATTCCACCCTTTGCATCATTAGACCGTCAGATTGTTGAAAAAGACATATTTTTCAGGCAAATGATCTGAGCGGCGCGTCTGCATCAAACACGAGCCATGCTCGCGAATCTGGTAAAGTAATGGCCGCCGTGGGCATGTAATTACACTCTGTCAGAACCCCCTGACAACGTTGTCGCTTTCAGAGGGATGAGTTTCTTGGCTTCACGTAATTGAAGAGATTCTCTTGGCTTCACAAAACGACCTCACGAACACCCCCACTTTTCCACCACCAGATTTCCCTGGTTTCACACACGCCTGGACCCATGGCTAACTGCCCTCCTGTAGTAGTCCCGATTCCGCTGCCGCGAAGTCAGGCCTCGGAAGCCAGACTCCTTCCGACGCGACCGCGGGGGCGCGAAGGCGGGGGTATGGATTGGTGGTTTGGGGAGTTGAACCCTGAACCCAAAGGGGTCCTTGTAGAGGAACAAAGGGGAAGCCAACCCTGAACCACCAAACCACCAATCCAATCCGCCTAGGGGGAAGCTGAGCATAATTACTGCTCAAAGAAACCTTCCCAGAAAAAAAAAAAAAACAAGCTGAACAGAGCCCTAAACCTCCGCGTGCTATGCCAAAGACAGCCTTGAGCGCCTTGTGGCTGGTAAGGGGCAGGTTGGGGGTGGGGATCCGCACGCTGCCGTTCGTCCAATGAATTGGGTGCATCTGTTGGAAAACAAAAGCGGGGAAGGAATTGACACACGAGGGCTCCTTCAGGCTGTCAGGGGCTGATATCCCTTAAGGGCTTCCCTGCGAAAGCACCCACAAATGGCCTTCCCTTTTCGAGGCAGACCCATTTTGCGTTCAACCCGCGTTCATGACAGGAACCTTGGTGCCCCTCGCGCAAGGCCCCTCAACAAAGTTGGCCGTCAGCTCTCAGAGCCCGGCTCTCGTACTGCGGGTGGTTCCCCACGCCTACACGCAACCAGAAACACGCCGCTCGGTCAGAAGCTTGGCCAAGAACAAAGCCGAGGTCCCCAGGTGATATTTGGTGTGAACAGAGTAACAAAGGCGAGGTGTGTGTTTTGTTTGGAGTGCACCCCTGAAGGCAGCAATCGAGTCACTTCGCACAGAATCTATCGACGGAAGCAAACCTCGCTGGGTGGGCGCAAGTGCGGAGAGATCATCCGCAGCTTCGCTGCCATGGTCATGTCCTTAGGCCGTTTGGCGGTCTCTGAGTGGGACATGACCTGAGATGGTTTCTGCCCCCCAAAGCACCACCAAAGAACACATGGCGCTGTACGCGTCTGTGTAGCGGCTTTGTGAAATATCACCCCATGGTCCCTTGTTAACGGGGTGGGGAGTGGACACCCGTTACACCTCACAATCTATCTCTATTCCGTTTCTCCTTCTAACTCTATCACTCACACCATGTAATTCCAGTCTGTTATCAAGGTGTGAGTGTGTTAGAAAGAAAGAGTCTAGGATACAGGGGTGAATGAGAGAAGCGAATGGGAAAGGACTGGATCTCAAGACACTTCTCCTTCCCCTCCCTTTCACCTCTGTATCTAGGATGCCATTAAGAGGTGGAGAAAGGGATAATTCACCTGGAAGCTATGGATGCTCGTCTGCAATGCAACCTGAAAACCTCCCGTAGATAGTCTCTCCCTTGGGATTTCGGTCAGGTTGCAGAGGTTTGCAGGGACTGGAACCCCAACCTGTGATACGACTAGAACATGTCCTTCCAAATTGCTTTGCTCACAAGGCGAAGCTTCTCGAAGCTTCCCTAGTATCAAAGTGGGACCAGTTTCGGGACGAAGCCGAAGACAAACAATACCAAATCGGCGCCCACTCAGAAACATGCTGATCCGTGAGACGGCTGAATATTGCGACACAAACCAAGGCAACACTTTTCAACGCAAGCTCCACTTTACGATTTCGTTCGTCACCAAGTTGGGAAAAGGGACCTTCCAATTAATGCTCCGGATTGGCCAGTGCTGAACCAGAAACGGAAACTCAACCGCAAATGGGTGTGTCTTTAGAGGACTCCCAAGATTGCTTGGTTTTTTTTGAGCTTCCCTTTAAAGCCCGTTCCAAAAAAGGGTATCAACAAAAATGACGAGCCACACACCTCATGATTAGAGTTAGGCCCAGTTATAGAATGTATATCTCCTTGTTTGCTTCACAAGGAGCCACTGGTAACATGAAAAATGTATCCTAGGTCTGCCCCAGACCTGGAAACCCGTGGAAAGAGGAAAGTGTTCAGTGGAATCCGGACGCGGCTCAGTTTCCCGGCGGCCAGCAGAATCACCTCCCTGCCCAGTGTGGCATTCGCCCACTCGACAAGCTCGCGCCTGGCGTGCGAGCTATCGCCGCAAACACTGCGTGACAAAATTCGGTGATCCTGCATTTGCTTTTTCTGTTTTCCGTTTGGTCTCCCTTTACAGAAATGGCCTGCCTCTTGGTCTCCCTTCTGTGTATTTGGCCTCCCTTTAAACAAAATTGAACAAGTTCACAAAATAGACGCACACACACATGGCCACATGGTGGCGCCGTGGCGATGGTCGAGCGACTTTGGCTTCAGCTTGAGCACCCGGCAAGCAAGCCTTCGAAGAATGCCTGGTTACCACTCAGCTCTCCCTTTGTAGTTGCACCTCTCAGACTCTCACCAGTTTGTGTAGTGCTCAGCTTCAGTCCAAATGCAACAGCAAAACAAGCAGAAAAAACAAGTATTCAGCTAGCTTGACCTGGAACCGACGCATGAGGGAAGATTATTTGGTGCGTATTCTGGCTATTGTGCTAAGATGCTGCAAGAAGTGCACTGCATCCACTGCTGATACACATTGCAACATCAAGGACAACCTGCGGTCAATCTTGTCGGTACTGAAGCTTCCGTAGCAGTGGGGCGTATGCAAACATGGGGCAAGCTGCTGAGCGCCCAGGAAAACAACTTCAGGTTTGCGGATCTGCAAATCTATGATTCATCAATCATCTTCAATCAAACCGAACAAACGCTGGGAATGAACCTAGGGATTCCAATAAAGCAAACCATAGGGGATGGTTTATATAGGGGTCATGCCCGCATTCCCTGCTGAGAACCAGCAAGTTGCCTCTTCAATCCAGGAAATGGGAAGCCCTGCAGTCGCTTGGCGAAACAAACACGCCAGAAACCACATGTCCAGGTCGTCTTGGATGGCACTCACCTCACGAACGCGTCAGGGTCGCTGCACTAAGCTTGCTGGTGCAGCAGGAAATGATCCAGGGTTTTGGGAATGAACCTAGGGATTCCCTAAAAAAGGAACCATTGGGGATGGTTTATGAATAGGGGTCATTCCCTCATTTCCGGCTGAGTAAGGTCATGAACCTATGCACCTCCAGCTACGTTTCAGTGGTAGCCTCCAAGCAACAAATGGCTGTAGCACACCAGTGCTCTTTATGTCGAAAAGGAGCCACCCTACATGCCGTGTACGAAAGCCTACATCATGCATGGCTGAATTTTAGGAATTCATGTTGCCTCAAGCAAACACCAACATTTGCTTGAAGAGTGTTGGTCATTCCAACTCTTTCGCGGGGAACTCCTCCAACCTCAGGGCACCGGGGCTGCGGCCTGCTGAGCTCGGGAAACCACCCCACCTGTGGCGAGTCTTTCGCTTGGACGTTTCCCCCGCGCCGCGTCGTAAAACTTTGGCGGGGAAACAGGGTTCCCTATGTTTCCCCTCCTCCCTTCAAGTGAGCCAAATTCTGATGTCTAAGCCATGAAGAAGGGGGAAGATAGGCAGCCCCGGGAAATCGTGAGTCTCTGCAAAACGGAGAAACACTTTACAGGTCGCACCAAACAACAACCAAGTTTAGACCCCAAGTTGACACATGCGTCAGTCCAGTCTGGTGAATTATGATGCCTTGGGCATCCTTGTTTGCCTGCAGGTTGGCGCTTGACAGTGGACTACCATAAGCCCAGCAATGGCATTTCCCACGGATATTGGGAAGCTTGAACCAGCTTTCAGATCCCAATGGGTGTCAAAAGAGCTTAAACTTGTTTGACCCCTTCAAAGTAGCTCCCCAGTTGTCCAACAGGCAGGCTGAAAAAGCTTCAATTTGAAGAAGTGAGGCGTTGTAGCATGAAAAGAGACACGCCAAATGTGCAATGAATGCTTCTTGTACACCTTGACCTCATCAGTTGGTGGTTTCGGCCTGGTTAGCCAGCTTGGTGGGAGTCAACAAGCCACCTGGCCCGTGACCTTTCAGCAGTGCAAACTAAGGCACGCTGAACTCCCCCCGTAATTCCGTGGTTCACACCTGCTCTCACCAATTCAACCCAAAACAAGAAAGCCACAATCCACCTCCAAATAGATGCAGGTTCGGCAGTACGTGCTTTGAAATGCGCCCTTTGGATCTTTCACAGATTTCAGTCGACCGAACCACAACACCAATACCAGGTGCTTACGAATCCCTCGCCGACACAGGGCCTCGCCTTCGACAGCCTCCGAATCCCCGCCTTGCAACGGCGACAGAAGCAGCAGCCCGATGCCTGAGACGCGAGCACCAGTGAAACCCCTGTTCCCATGACATGTGTGTGAAGGATCACCTTTTTTTTGAGGGGGGTGGAACCATTGGGGGAGGGCAAGCCCCTGATCGCATATATATTATATATATATACACTTTGCGGAACAGGTCTGTTAAGCTGCATGGATGGCTCTGTTTGAAGGCTTCCAGGAAGCCTAGGCCATGGCGCCCAAATGTGGGACCTCTATGAATCACTGGGGTGTGGCGCCATATGCAGAGGCACCAAAAAGAAGCGTTGGTGGCCGTAAGCAGTCCTTGTCCACCATGTTGACGCAGGGTTCAGAATGCACCACATCATCCCAGTGACTTGAATAAGCGGCTGCTGGCTGCTAGTTGGATGCAGAAACAAGCACGAAGGCAAAGGCAAGACTAAGAGCACACTGCACAAGAGATCCAATCATCCAAAACCTAGATGACACAGTCTTCTGCGCTTGTGCCAGCATGGCAGCAGCAAAAGCAACCAGCAGCAAAGACCACGAATCCTCCAAAAGCCTTTCATTGGCCCACGTATCACATATGGACCTTGTTTCACTTGATGTCTTGACTCATAACTGGGCAAGTGTGACTTCGACGCTGCCCGAGTTGTTGCTGACGCCGGCAAGGCGGCAACTTGCTGCTTTCTGACCTGTAGGGTTCGATACCCGACCCAAACTCAAATCCATTTTCCAAACCCAACGCCACGGGAGGCCAGCGAGGATGCCCAATGTGTCTGAGGTCAAAACTCAATGAACCACACATGAAATGAAACTCAATGAAACTTGTCCATGTCATTTAGGGTTTAGGGTTCAATGGTCGCCTCTGACAAGCGCCGAGCACACCATTCGGGCCCCCGCACCGTGGGCGAGCACCACTCCCGGCCGCCCCAGGCCACCGAGCAGATCCTTGCCAGGTACCACCGGTACTCACGCCGTGCCGTGGAGACCACAAGTCCGGCTTAAAAAAATATTCCAGTGGCAAAAATGTTGCGAAATCCTGGGTCCCAAAGGGCTTCAAAGATGCGAAGTGCCCTTGCCGAAGACACTAAGCTGAAGTTGTGAGTGGCGGGGTTGACGTCAGGATTGGGCAATTTCTTTCTTCAACATATCTTGAACTAGCATTGTTGAAACAACATCCTGCTGGTGTCCCTTTCGAGCGGGCCGGTATCTGAACTGTTCGACATGTCTTGCCCGACTCCCTGAACATGAAACCTCTGTAAGTGGGTTTCCCCAAAAGGACGTTCCTCCAATATATGGGCTGTTTGGGTTCCTTCCATTCTGCTGACCTTCGCATGGAGCCTGTGCCAAGCGGCAGGAGATGCACATAGCGATGCAGCCTCAGCCATCGCGACCGTCGAGGCTTGTCACGCAGCCTTCTCCGGGCTTGTGGAAACCAACAGGATTGGGGGATGCCAAAGTGGGATTCCCACCCACATGACAAGGGTATTCCGCTGTCACACGGAACATGAATACTTGGCCATTTTAGAGGACATCCTAATGTATTCTCTTGGTATCAAGGAAAGTAGCCCTGAAATCCAATTTCGGACAAGCTGATGCGACCAAAGCAATGGGAATTCAAACCTCCTGTTTCAATCATGTCCGCCGACATTGTTCGGCGTGTCGGATACCTAAGAGAGGACTATTGGATACCTAAGAGAGGATAGAGGATAACCCCCCCTCAGTCCCCCCCCGGGACACGCATGGTTTTTCAACGTAGTCTTCGGGGAGCGGGTCTGGAGAAACGGGGGTCCCAGGCTCGAATCCTCCCGCCGCCTCTTTCTGCCGGCTGAGGTTTTGTGCTGCCTTTTGCGGAAAACTTTGAGACACACGGTGTTCGGTGTTTTTCCTTTGCTGACACCATTGAAAAAAACATTGTGTTTTCCTATTTCCTTGACAATTGGCACCAATTTCCCCTAATTTCCCCCAATGCTTCCCCGCAAATTGCGCCTTACTTTCTCACCAATTCCCTCCCACTTTCCTTTCAATTTCCATCCGACTTCCCCCCAATTTCCCCCCCAGTTTCCCCCAAATGTCCTGGCAAATTCCCCAACCCCAGCTTCCTTCCAAGTGTCGCCCCCAATGTCCTTCGTGTCGGATACTTGGGCCATGCTAAGCCACGCTTCTCGCAAGCGTACAAGGGGCAACCTCAACACCCCTCAGAAATCAGCTTATCCGCGCACCCCGCCAAAATGACATGCAGTGGCCATGACATACCACCCAGCACTAAGGTGCCCTAAACGGCGAGCCTTCCTGTTCGCAATTGTACGCCCTGTTTGGTCGCCACCCTTTCCCAACATTTTCCTTGGAGGCATGGTTCGGCGCCCTTTTTGGGAGCACCCTCTTGGTGGCACTCAACACTCCGCCGACATTGCTCGGCGTGTCGGGGAGGATGGGGGAACCAGAGAGGACAGAAGAGCATACTAGGGGGACACGGGCGAGAGGAAGAAGGAGACATGCTAGATGCCAATGTCGGCGGACTGAGCCGGAGGCTCTAAAGTATCAACTGTGCCGATTGGAGCCGTCCGGGAAATGTCTTCAGGGCACACGCAAGTGAATCTCATCAATCAGTATGACTCCTGGTATCGTAGAACATACTGATCCAACAGACTGTTGATGGAGCCCAACCGTAGAAATAAAATCAACGGCTGAGTGATTGCTTGGTTCGTGATGGCCGAGAAGATGAAGCAAAAGAAGAGCATAACTTGGTTGACGTTGGAAGGGGAGCAAACCTTTAACATCTAGCAGTTAAGTGAGATTTCCCGCTAAACCACAATAAGCAAAATGTAAAATGCTTCCCAACAACAGCCATGATAAGGCAAACTAATATAACATGCTAGCATGCTCTGTCCCAACTCTTTTGATGAATTTGCGCAAATTTGCGCGCTTGCTTTGCCCTGACGCCAATGAGTGGAACACTATCCATGTAGGCACCTGGAACAAAACAAGCAAATGGGTTATGAGTTCTGAGGAGGTTGGTAGCGTAGATTACCAAAGTCACGATCGTCATCAGCTTCGCAGAAAAAGCCCGCATGTTTTCGTGAAAGCCGCCAAACTGCCTGTACTCTGTGGTTGGACTAATCCACAATGTAGCTCCAACAAAGGCGCAACAATTGACCTTGCACATGGTCCTGACTGGAAGACCTTGTCAAAAGCACGCCAAATGCGGGGAGGACCTCAATGTCTGTGGTATGCACAAACTGCAGTGTTTGCCTTGATGGTTGCCCCCCCAACAAAAAAATCACATGACTTTGCAGAGCTAGTAATCAGAATCACGACAGTCGAGCCGAAGTCAGAAGACCTATGCTGGATGGGAACTATTGGCTTCCTTCTGACAAAGCCATGATTCAATTCAATGTATGTATTTCAGTTGTAGCGAGTCCCTATTGTTTGGCAAACCCATTGACTTTTGCTTCTACCAGCATTGCAAGGTAAATAGGCCTTGCCATAACACACATGAAGCCCTGTAGAAGCTCAACCTACCAAAGTGGCCAAGGGGGATCTTGAGAGCTTGACTGCGATACCCTCAGTTGAGATGGGAGAATTGAATAGTCCCCCACGTCCCCAAATGCTCCATGCAGCGCTTTTTGATGGAACATCTGACATGTCCCCTGCCACATAGCACACAAGGAAACATCTTTGAACTGCCAACCACACGGTTGGATTAGACTGTTTGAAACCAAGCGATTGCTTTAAAAAGCATCTTGGAACAAAAAGCTAAAAGGCGAGCCAACATCACATTTTATGGGTTTGTCTCAAAATTCAGGAACCTGATTCTGGATGGAGAGGCAACCTTAACCTTCTCAGGATTGACCTTGCATGTTGATTGCTGTTTATAAAAGGGATGGCATCAAGGGGGTTGTCTCAAAATTGAGGAACCTGATTCTGGATGGCTTGAAAGGAACGCTAAAAGGACAGCAACCCGAAAGTCGGTTGCTTGCGGGACCCCGCGCCAGGCACAGCGCGGGCGCGGCCAGCACCCGCAGGCGGCTCACCAGGAGCGCCACCAAGCACCTCGTGAACGTCCGGCCGAAAGGGGCGCGGGGATTTATTTTTTTTGGGGGGGGCCGAAAGGAAGTTAGTCCTTGATAGGATTTGTTCAACGAATGGAAGGAATTTGGCCATTGGGATAGGATGTTTGTTCAAGCAAAGGGACTAGGGGGTGAATGGCATTCATGCAAAGGGACTCTAAAGTTGTGCGTGTCCGCTTTTGTGGCTTGTGGAGCCAGATTCTGCCGGGAGCCACGAACTATCCCGGCCCCCGAACCTTTCGGAAGCTTCCTAGAGCATACCTGGGAATTTCCCGAAAGCTGCCTCAAGGCCGCCGCAAACCCAGATGGGCTTGGACCCCAAGCTATCGTTGGTGGGGGAAGCAAAAAAAGTGTTTACCTGTTTACAAAGTGTCCAATTCTTTTTTGGGAGGAGACTTGAACGCTTTAACATCACCTCACCAGAGCGACCGCACCTTAAATCGACCCAAATGGTGATGCTTGAAACCGCGCGGGGAAGTAGCAAAACCTCTTGGGAAACCACACCCATTCTGGGGCCTAGCGAAACCTGAAGAAACAAATACGAAAAGCCACAATAGGGTTTGCCATATTCTCAACAGCACCCCCAAAGGGAACTCGCCTTGAATGGCCCAAGGGCGATGTTTGAAAACCGCCAAGCCGGGGCAAGATGGAGCCTGGTATTTTTGGTTGGTACGCGGCCACAGCGGAGCGGGTGGAGCTTCCCAGTTGCTTGGGGTCCGGGTCCTTATGAAGGAATGCAAGCGGTCGCGGTGTTGTTGACTTGGAAGCAGGGTTTCGCTGTTGGCCAATGGAAAACAGGACAGAACAGGAATCGCCAAGTGAAAATGACGCCCTTGGTGGGAAACGAGTGGAAATCTCACGCTTTTCAGAGACGCAGCTCAGCCCTTGCCAGCTTCGACGCTGGTTTGCCTGGCTCAGGCGTGTAGCTGTTTGATAGCACGAGACAGTATACATACATGCCGCCATATATATATATATATATATGTACATGTGTAACGATGTTATGTATGCATAGATAGGTGCATACATATTGATACACCCCAACAACATGCATATAGCTACAATGTGTATATATATATATATAATATATAGTACATCAAAACAAGCACATTTCACACTCACACGATCGAATGAATAGCTCATACCCTGTCACCCACAAAAATGAAAGTGCCTCCACCCTTTGGAAGATGATGTTCCTCTTGGAAAGGGAGGGCCAGAACTGTGCAGAAAGCTCTCTTCGGGTGGGGGTCGGGGATCGAGTCTCTCAGCACACGGCAATGCCAGAGTGAAGAAGATCTGCAGGAGCCGGGCCTTTGATCAAAGGGCCCAGACCCCTGAGGGGATTTCCAGGGGTTTTCATTGGGGTTTTGTTCGGATTCGGCACTTGGTTTGGTAGATCTGAAGGGAGGCCCCTCAAGATAAAGGAACAAAGGAAACTAACCACTGGGTGTCTGGGTGGACATCCCCAAAGGCTAGGCGGGATGGCGGAGAAGGGGGGGGTTGGTGAAGTCGTGCCAGTGTTCTAACCAGAACAAATAAATAAATGTGTGGGATGTGGGTATGATATATCAGATAATTATCTGAAATCACGAATAGCAAAGGAGTCTTCATCATGGGTGAAGTCACAAACACTCCTTTGTGAGGTGGCAATGATTGACCCAAGTCCTTAAGGCATCTTCCGTTCGGCTCCACATCGCCAGCAACGGCGCACAACGCGGGAATCAAATGTTCGCGTGCAAAGAGAAGGCGGCTTTGAGTCTAAGATGTTTTTGTTTTTTTTTACTTGAACAAATAGTCAAACTATTTGTTGCTGTATGTATGATGATGTGCGGGACCCTGTGGTTGACATCATTTGGCTTGGGATTTGTCTGCACCATTTATCTGCAGCATTTCGAGGGTGGTCCCCATGAAACGCCGTTTCCAATGTGGCCCTTTTAGAAGATGTGTGACGGACATTTGCCCGCATGCCTTTGTGTGCATGGCCGACATGGTTGAGGCCAGCTGATTGCCAGTTTCATCATATCCTACTTGAGCCGGCCCTCCAATATATGGGAGTGTCTTGATTGGATGGTACCCGGTTTGGGGTTTCAAGGACAATTTCCAGGAGCAACACCATCAGTTTTTGGGACATGTTCACGAGGCGCTGTGCTAAGCTCCATGCTCCTTGCTTGTGGCTCCGCCTCAGCAAGTCAAATCGTGCAAGGCCCATGTGAGCAATGGTCGGGATGTGGCTGCGGGTCAAAACCCTGTACCCCTGGTGAACATCAAAATAGGTGGTACATGGGTGTTCATCCGCCCCAAAATGGAGGCACAGGTTATGACCCATGGCCATGTATTGTCATCTATTGTAGCAGAAGGGCTGGGGCACACTCACACAAGCTTGACCTGGCCGTCTGCGCTAAGTCCTAAACTTGACAAGCGGGATTGCCATGCAATGTGCTTGTAGTTTCTTGAATGCTAGTGTCCTCAAACAGCATCTCAATCATGACTGAAGTCAATATTGTTGGGCTACCCATGCGGGCCCCTAGTTACAGTTACAGCCATTAAAGGACTATACCTTAAAACAATGGGACTCAAGCCCGGTAACTCAACGCCTAGCATGTGCAAGGCTGAAGCTTCCGACCAATGCCTCTGCCTCGTGAGTGAGCCTACTCTTCAGGCTAAGAACATTTTTTCCCAAGCAACGTCGCAAAGCAGCACATGCACTCCAACGTACAATTTACAAGCGGAGGTCACGTCAAGTAGTAACTGTCCAACAAAAATGGAAGCTCACAAAAGGCTTTAGAAGACTACAGTCCACTGAAAAAAGCTCCCTGTGTCAATGATTGTTGGAAGTCCGAGCGACCCAGACCTCCAGTTGCCACGTGTAAAACGCTTTTGCTAGTTCATTCAAAGGGGAACCCCCTTCCCCCCCCCCCCAACAACAAGCAAAAAAATGTAAAACTGAGTTGAGGACCCCGTGCCCCCCCCAAAAAAACACACACACACACACAACAAAGCATGCAGGAGGTGTGGGACGACATCACACGACACACAGCAGTTGGTCTGTGCTGGGGCCTCCCACGAACCCCGCGAACCCGCCAAACCACCTGAGCGAAAGCAGTGAGCTTGCCAAATATATACCGCTCCATCTCCACAAATGCGTGGCTGTGCTGGGGGGGAGTTTCGGAAAACCGCCAAGACTCAAGAGAAACAATTTGTTGTTGAAGAGAATGATGCCTGCAAACCATGGCGAATTAACTTCTAGAATGCTTGGTGATGCTTTGCGTTGTGTTCAAGTCTATGCGCATGATCTTCTGGATTTCCCCTAAACTACACAATCTTCTCAATCGCGTCACCATTCAACATCCAATGCCTTCAAAAGACGGAATGTTCGTCAATATCTAAGTCAGCACAGGTCAATGCTTCGGGACCCTGCCCCTGCAGGCTACCTGATGAACAAAAACTCTTCTTTGGAACGGGCAGAAGGAATAGGTGATGTTAGCCTCATGCAAAATGCCCAAACGAATCTGGAATTTTGCTAAAAAAGGCTCAGTAGCATGACAGCGAGCCAACCGGCTCTTTGTGAGGATTTGCTCCAGGCTTGGCCAGACTAGTCGAGAGAGACATTGCTCTTCAAAAGGTGTCTGAAACGAGACTTGTTTTGGGACACGAACAAACAAACTTCAATCTGGGCTGCAACATAGAGGAGTGTCCAATCCGATTTCTTGATCCCTATTCGGAAATGACTACCAAGGGTGACCTCTGCCGCAACCCGAGCGAAGGCTTGTAAGGATTACCTGTGAGCAGCTCAGCCAGTACCTAGAATTCTCCGTAAGCCGCGTGCAAAATCAGAAATTGGCTTTGGCCGAGGAGTGCGACTCCCTGAATATTGTCAGAAAAGAACCTGGCTTCCCCATGTTCCGCCGTTGCAAGAAGACATAAGATCAGAATTTGCATCCGGTCCCTTACGCTTGATTTGGAGACAAGAGGGCAGGGGCAAACCTCCCCATTGTGCCCTTTGCTCAGGATCCTTATGATGGTTGTCCAAATTACCCTTTGAAGGCTACCCATCCCTGCCGACCACCAATCAAAGCCGCGTATTCATGAAATCCCTAAAGTAGGCAAAGGGGGAGTGTAGTTGAGAGCCCTAGTCCCTAGGGTTCCTTACGGAGCTTTAGGGAACCCCCCCCGTTGGACCACCCCCCCTCCGGAAGTTTGGACCATGGCACGAAAATCTGCACCGAAACACACCAGCTGACCCCGCCATTCCAAGTCTGGGCCACAAACGCAGCCAGTTGAGAGCCACCAGCAACGCCGCCCTCAGACTGAGTGGGTTGGCCTTTTGACAGGAAACCGATCATGTTTTGGGGGGGGCCCTATTTTGACGCAACATGTGTTTTTTGCGGAAAGCCAGGCCAAAATTATGTGGCCTTGAGGGATAAGAAAGTAACAAAACTAAAGCTCTCTTCGTGTTGCTTCCCAACTGTCGTAGCCTTCCCTGGCTGAATCGAGGATGTCGAACCCTCAGCCCATGCTTGCAATTTCAGGAGGGAAAGGACGGCGATGTTTGTCCCTTTCCGATTGGCTTGGCGCGAGATATCACTCGACCGTTGCCCGGAAATCACTCGGGAACGCATGGTTTTAATTGGCTGCAGATTCTTCTAGTGGTTCAATTGCGAGGGAAATGCGGTCCACGGGGCGAAAGGTGCTCTTTGGACAGACATGTGACATGGTCCTAAAGTCCAGCAGTTGTCCATTTCCAGAACACCCTGGGCACTCGACCCTCCAGTGGAAAGGCACCTCCTTGCGGATAATTTGGGGCCAGTCCCAAAATGCTTCCAGCCAGAACTCATGCCTCTTGACTAGTTGTGTAGAAGCCAAGTACGGTCGCTAGATGGAAGACCCTCTCCGCAACCAAGCCGCAAACCAGCGAATGGCAGAGCCAGCATCGTCGTCGCCTGACGCCGAGCTCCATGCCAATCATGCACTTGGATACTTTGGAGGTGAGATTGGTCTCTCCGCAAAGCGCCTACTGAGCTAACAGAGATCTTCGTCCTTAAGGAAAGTGTGCGATGTCATGTGTGATCATGTTGTAGCAACTGGCAAAGCAAACCAGCCGCTTTATCAGCCAGAAGCACTTGCAAATCGTCCCCAGCCAAGAACATGATGGATGACAGATTCAGAGAGTTCGCGTCAGCCAGCTCTTCGCTTGAACAGTCTGCAGCTCTTTGCAACGTGTGAGGCGAACGTGTGTGGCTAAGGCAACTCGGGTGTGGCTAAGGCAACTCGGGTGTGGCTAAGCAACATGTCCGACAGTCGACCAGTTTTTTGGGGGAAGGTCCGGAAGGTCAGATTCCAATAATCCCGCCAATGGGATGGAAACGGCTCTGGAAGCTCAACCTAAGACGGGGTCCCTCCAAGAGCAAAATGATCTTCCAGATGCCTCCCCAGGTGCCATGTTAGTGGGAGAAACGGTAAACAAAAACAAAGCTCAGGTTCTGGCAAACAGTTGTCAAGCTCGGCCTAATTTTCACACTTCCGCATCTTCTTCCCTCGAGCACAGGCCTCTCGAATGTGGTTGTAGCTCAAAACCTGGAACTCTGGCGCCTGCCCAAAAAACCAGAAACGGCGAGAGATGCCCCGACCCAACTCAAGTTGAGTTTGTGCATTTTGCACGAAGGGGACATGCCGACGAGCTCTTTTGCCCAACACGGTGTCCTTGGACCTCGCTCTGAAATCCTGAAAAACGTTTGACGCTTCTTCCTGTTCTCCCCGCTGGTACTCGTATCAGCTGTAGTGTGGAACATGATAAGCATTGATAACCTATCCTTTGGGACCGTGGATTCATGAAGCCTCTTAAAGGGGGGGTACAAAAGGGGATCGCTCATTGTGGCAACCGCCCAACTGAAACTCACCGTGCGTTTTGGACATGATATATTTGTCCGCCGCAGAATCTTTGGGATGCAGCAGCTCCATTTTTTTGTTTTTTAACATGCTTGTCAACCGAAGGATATTCTGGGAATGAGGCTTCCCACCTTTCCTCGCAAGAACCCACAATTAAATGGCAAATAGTGCACAGATCTCTACCAAGCTCGGAAAGAAGCCACTAGGTCATCTCCATCTGACCAATCGTTGGTCAGCCTGAAACAAAAAAAAACAAACACATCCAGGCTGAGCAAAGACTTTGCTAAACATGCTCTGTGTTAACTCAGTAGCCAATAAAACCCTGCTCGCTGAAGCTAGAGCAAGTGATAGCAAGCACATTGGTAGCAGCCTCTGACCCAAACGTCTGCTCCCTAGGCGCATCTGCAACAGTGCACCACCCTTGCCCCCTGATCAATGCACCCAATAGAGATTGCTTGATTCTCCGGACCCCTGATGGCTTTGGACCATTTTCCGCAAACCCTCTTGCGGGTTCCATGAGGAGGGTGCACCGGCTACTGAGAGCTCAATTCATCGGTTCCGAATCTGCACTTCGCACCTGGAGATAGAGGAAGGCATCAAAGGACGCCTGTTCAGCGCAAAACAAACATGACTGTGAGGTTGGAGCGCACGCGTATGGCAATTATGGGGAGTGAGCTTCAGTCGGCCTCATACCGACTCGAATAAGATTGGACCACCTGGCATGCAGGAAGTGCACCATGAATCAATGGATGCTAAGTTTGAGAAATATTTTCATGTTCACGGTGAGTGATTGTATAGCAGTCCTGTGGTTGGGGAAAGCAGCCCACAACGAATCTAGACGCCAGCGTAACTGTGTCGTCGCAAATTATATTCCATGGATGTTGGAGGAATCCTCATACGAGGCAAACATTGGAGGGAGTTTTGATTGGATTCGTCAGCAGAGGATCGAAATTTCGACGGGCTCTGCTGTCTCTTACAACATCATGAACGTTTTCTTGAAGAGGGCATTTGTGTCACCACCCGCGAAGATTTGCAAGAATACATGGGGATCCCTGCAATAAAAAAGGGAAACGGCCAAAAACACAATTTCTGAGCTGCTTTGTGATGTTCAGGGTTGGCCTTCCCCCAAATGGCGGATCTGTCTATTGGGGCGTTCCGCCAAACACAACACGGTGGCTTCCAACCCCTCTTCTTGGATGGTAAAAGGGGGCCCAACATCCTTTGGGCGTCCCAGGAAAGCTTGGACTCCGCTTGGAAGGGGGTGCTAGGGTGTATCAAATCAATGCCAGTAGAGTCTTGATGACCCAAACTACCTCATGCAGCCAATGCTTGATTCAGCTCCATAATTGGTGAGCCTTACAATGTGAAGTTTCAATGGAGATCCCTCATTGATTGACAAAGTGTGGGTTCTCAAGGGGATCCCTTCCAAAAGTCAGACGATCAGCTATCACAATTTACAGGTAGTTTCAGGTTCTTGGTTGACGTTGGAAGGGAGCAACAAAAAAATACATTTTAGCAGTTAAGTGGGGATTTTCCACAAGACCACAATACGCAGAAATGTAAAGTATTTCCCAACAACAACCATGGTTTTACTTGAATCCAACTCAAAGGAGTCACTGCTTCGTCACCCGCCCAAAGGAGCCTCAGGAGGCGCCAAGCCCAATTTCTGCAGCAGCAGCTGCAGCACGTGCCGATCCTCTCGCTCGCAACTTGTATCTTGTTTTTGGTTGAAGAGAAACCGAGAGGAGAGCCACTAGGTCCTCCAGTAGAGAGGATAGAATAAGGGTACCCGACTTTTCTTCTGTAGTCTATTTTAGTAGGGGACCCTCTCCCAGAAAAATTGGTGAGAAAGGGCACTACTGGGGGACCTAGCCCATGAAATTTGTGGGTCCCCACTCGAGCTGCGTTTGTGCGGAAGCACCAGTGGAACCAAGCCGATGTTCAACATAAAGGGACCCAAAGTTGGGATTCAATGGCCTCCCAAAAAACTATAACAGCAAATCAAGCGCAAAATGGATGACTGGGAAAGCCACAGGTTGGCTTACCTACTAAGAAGGGGCACATGTCTGGAAAATGCGGCACATGCATGGGACTATCGTTTGGGACAAATGGGCCCCGATCAAGGTGCGAGAAGGAACGCCCAGTAATTATAGGATGGGGCCCTCGGAAGTCAAAAAACCAGAAAAGCAATGAGATGATGTGTAAGTTGGGGCCATTACTTTGCTTTGAGGCATCGCTCGTTTTCGTGCATCATACTGCGCCGATGACTTGGTGCATTGAACTTCAAGCGGGGTTGGATGCTTTGCATGGAGTCGTGATTCGGTGTGCCCTTTTGTCGGCAGGACATTTGCAAACATTATGGTAGCCAGCCAAATCCCTTCTGTCCCTGTCCATGTTGGAAAAAGGGTATTTGGGTGGATTGGCAGGTTGCTCAAACTCAGGCGGAGGGCACGCGAACTTCAAATCAAGCCATCGGCTAGAGGTGTAGTTGAGCTATTGGGGCTGGAACCTTGGGGCCGGAACCTTGGAAAGGTACAGCTTTGGGGCTGCACAGACTCCGATCCACATCATGTTGAGCTTGGTCGCATTGCAGCAGACTAGTTGCATCGTGCGAGTTGCCGACTCTATCAACGTATCCAAGGGGCAAGTGCCTCACATTTGCAGACTGCGACATGAAATGATCAACTCCACTTCAAGTGATATGTGACACCCTCACTGGATCTCTGGCCCCTTAGGACCGGGCAAAGGAAGGGTCCCGGCACCCTGAGTCCATCACGTACACTGCGACCCGGCAAGAAATAAAGAAATCTGTTCCGTTGACCCAGAATTATTGTGAAATCGTGCTGAGCCGCTTGGGGCTGCATTGACTCGGGCTGCACCTCTTTGATTTAAAGAAACCAGGCATGTGGTTGCGCTGCCGCGGCCTCCTCACCAGCAAAGACTGCCAGCGACTGGTGGGATGCAACCTGAAGCTCGGTGCTTTTCACACTAGGTTTCCTTTGGTCGAAAAAGAGGAGGGGGTTCTACCTCGCCAAGACCTCCATGTCTCCGAAAAGGTGGACCATGAGAAAGCAGTGGCACTGCGCGCACTTCCCAAGGCCTGCATCGTACCCTTCAGGCAGCGTGTGTCCATGTTGGCACCATTCATGCTACATTCATCCCTTCCGCAAAGCCACTGGGCGGGGGAGACAGCGGAACATCTTTCGCACGATGTGTCAAAACGACAATGGCCACCAACACAAAAACAGGAAGACATATTAAGATGCTACCATTTGGACAATGCGATTGTCCAACTGGTGCTGACTCAGCGCACTTTCCCCAGTCTGCCTTCAAAGTCCGCCAGGTGCTCCGGGCAAACCATCCCATGGTAGGTGTCACATGCATCCAGGTTGGCCTTCTGCCTTTACTTCCCAAAGGTGGCTTTGGAAAACTTGGCGAAAGAAACGACAGTCAAAACTCCTGGCCATCATGAATCAGCCCCAAGAAAGCAAATTTAGCTCATGTGAGAAATTGGGTTGGGAGTGGGCATGTCTTGGAGGTGTGCTCTGACACATTTTCTGTGAAGTATATTTGCTCTCATCTTGGGCGGCTCTTGCGGGGGTTAGTACATTAAATGTCCTTCTAGGTCAGTTTGATTGGAATAGATGGCAGTTGTAAGTTGCCCTTCTAGCCCAAAGGAACACCGAAGCCATGTTTGGTTGGTCCCCCTTAGGGGACACATGCTGGAAACAAACCATTTTAGGGGTGCTTGGAGTTCCTTGGGGTTCACATGTATTGTTTGTTGCGGGTACCCGAGACCCCGGCTAAGGGCAAACAAGACAACAACCACCGCTTTGGGAAGTCAAAAATAAGTGGGCCCCCCCACCAAACAACAATAAAAAGAGGTGGCTTTCCTCTTGGCTTCCCTTCAAGCTGGGCCAAAAGCTTAACTTCAAGTGGCTCAAATGGAAACCCAACCACAGAACCAACCAAAAACCTGGCAAAAAACCTCAGGAATCCTCGACGCCTTGGAACCGCCGAGTAAACCCACCGTTTCAGCGCTCGACAAATCAATTCCAAAGCCGACCTGAGACGCCGGCGCCCAGCACCAGTGAGGCCAACAGAACCTGGCGACCAAAAAACCCGCAGTGTTTCTTGTTTCATGTGCTCTTGTTATTGTCCTTATTACATATATCATGATGATTCAAAAGATCTTATATATATATATAGAATGCGAGTGTTGGATCACATCTGTACAATTGATATACTTTGAAATTTAGTTCTCGAATATAAAGTTGTGTTTGTTTTTATCGGTTTCACTCACAAAAGAAGAATGAACCCGTCATTAAATGAAAACCAAACTGTGTGAGGTGGACTTTCAAGGCAGTTTCAACCTGAGGACGGCTGGCCACTTGTTCTGGGTCTCAAATCTCACTTCCAGAGTGGATTGGTCAGAAAGTGTCCAGATGGACCCGGGTTCGAGCCCGTGGAAAAGGTGACGGTGACGGTTTTGGGTGTGTGAAACCCAGAACTGGGTCGATGTGCTTCAAGATGTGCAGGCCCACTGAAGATTCTTTCAAAATGATGAGCAGCCCCGCAGGGGTCGCCTTATTTTGAGACTCACCCGTTGGAGAGGGCAACCTTGCACCTTCTGAAATGGCCAAGTGGGGTCTGCCTAAAGTGGGAACCTCTTGAAGAGGACAATCCTCAACACTGCGTGTGACGCTTCAAGGTCCTCACAAACGCAGATTCCAACCAACGTAGCAGACTTTACTCTTGGAAAGGGATCCTTCGCGACAAGCCAAACTCAGCCCGCACTGGTCCTGTACCCGAATGATCCCCGGACACAAGGCGAAAGTGGGTCCTTCAAGAACAATTGAGCACGAAACCAAGCTGTTTCTAGGTCAAACCGTGTATGATAATGCTTACATGTATATATATATATATAATTATATATAATTATATATATATATATGTATACATATTCATACACATACACATATATGTATATCTAGTTATATACATATATACTGAAATAAGTATGCCCGTCTGTCTGTGAGTCAGTCAGTCAGTCAGTCAGTCAGTCAGTCAGTCAGTCAGTCAGTCAGTCAGTCAGTCAGTCCGTCCGTCCGTCCGTCCGTCCGTCCGTCCATTCGTCAGACGTCACTCAGTCAGGTTGTCTGACTGTCCGTCCGTCTATCTGTGTGTCTCTGTGTCTGAGTGTCTCGTGTCTCCGTGCCTGCGTTTCTGTGTGTGTGTGTGTGTCTCCGTATATGTGTTTATCTAAGTGTTTGCACGCACGTGCGTATGCATGTATGCACGTATGCAAGTGTGCGCGTGTGCTCGCATGCACGTATGTAGGCATGAACTTACGTAGGTATGTATGTATGTGCTTATGAAAGCATGAATTAATGAATGAATGAGTGCGTGAGTGAATGAACGAACGAATGAATGAATGGAAGGATGGATGGATGGATGGACGGATTCATGGATTCATGGATGGATGGATTGCGTGCATGTGCGTATTCATATGTGTATGTATACGTGTTTGTATATGCACATGTCGATGTAGATGCATATGCATGTTCATATGTGTGTATGTATGTGTATGTATGGGTGTAGGTGTTTAAGTGTGTAAGTGTGTAGCAAGTATGTACGTGTGAATGTGATAATGTCTGAATGTATGACATGTATGACCGTAACAATGTATGTATGTATGTATGTATGTATGTATGTATGTATGTATGTATGTATGAATGAATAAACAACTAAATTCATTCATAAATGAGTTCATAAATGCATGATTGAATGAATGAATGAATGAATGAATGAATGAATGAATGAATGAATGAATGAATGAAGGAATGAATGAAGGAATTAATGAATGAACAAATAAATGAATGGATGGATATATTCATGACTGACTGACTGACTGACTCACTGACTGACTGACTGAATGAATGAATAATTTATTGATTGAATGAATGAATGAATGAATGAACGAACGAACGGATGGATTAATGAATAAACAAATGATTAAATTGAATGCATGCATGCATGCATGCATGCATGCATGGATGGATGGATGGATGGATGGATGGATGGATGGATGGATGGATGCATGGATGAATGAATGAATGAATGAATGGCTGGCTAAAGTACAAATATTGTGTATGTACGCGCTCCCATTAAGCCCGAAACAATCAAGTGGAAACAACACACAGCGCTTTAGGCACTGTTGTCCCATGTTTACGTCTCTGGCCTCGAGAGTATGGAGTTCCAAACCTTGCAAACGTCCCACCTCCTGTTGCTGCTGCTGTGGTGTCAAATGATACCAAAAGGAATGATGTAACCGACCGTCTGGGATTCAAACAGCAAAGCTCCAGCTTTTGCTCTGTGGCATTAACTCCAAACGACTTGCGGCTCGCGCGTGCAGCAGGCGGGCTTTGTACAGCGAGCAAAAACCAAAACTTAGCGCACATTGCCTCGCTCGCAAAGGGGGGTGGCCATTGTTTTTTCCGAAATTGCCGGCTTTTGGCCAGCAACGAGCACCTTGATTGGCCACCAAAAGCATGTTCAACAAGCCATAGCAAGTGTGAGATTTTTCCGAGGCCAGCGATCTGTGCGGTGGCGACCTTTGAATTCAAGAGAGAACCAGCAACGGTTCCTGGTTCACTCTCTGGGCCACACAAGCACAGCAAGTTGGTTTGGCGTGTTTGGCACTGGCTAAACAAATTCTCCAACATCGAGGGATGCGTATAATCTTCACAACCAAACCGCATTTCTCAAACTTGCACCTCTCATGCCAGAGGTCAAAAGCTTATTCCAGGAACAAATGTTGATGACTTATCTTTGGTTGCTCGCTTTGTGAAGCATGCATACTCCGATGGAAGAAACCAATGCGTTCCAAGCCAGTCACCGTCTGGCAAGGAATCAGTAGCTTCTGCTTGGGGGGGTGCATCCTCAAAGGAAATCTATGGAAATCTCGTCTCAGGCTGGAGCAGAGCATGAGGCAGAGGCCGCTTGAGGCTGCAACTCAAATGCCATGCATCGAGGCCTACAGTGAATTCATGGGTCTCAGCCTTAGCGATCCCGAGGATCAGAAGCCGAGAGTGACCTGACGGGGATGCTACGCAAAGCTCTGGATGCCCAATCTCTGCGACTCAAACTTGCGCTCATGCGAGACACTAAGAGCCGATGCCACATCCAAAGGCGGAAACAGGAGAAATTGAGCGCCTCTCAGGATTCCATCCTCTACCACTCTCAAACAACCAAGCGGCACTGTCATCAAACATCTAGTGACCCTGGCGGCAAGATTTGTCGAAGTTGTTTGCGAACTTCAGCTGGAGCATGCTGCGTTGCATCACCACTTTTGATCTGAACGAAATCGCTAACGACTGTCGGTAATGTTGTATCATTTTTGCATTTTTGTACATATAAATAGGCGATGACCACAGGGAGGTGTTATCTGACATCTGCGCACTTCCATTGATTCACAGTGCCCTCTCAGCTTCACTGCATTGTGCTTGTTCTGCAATCATCGCAAACAAACCGGGCAGCATCTAAAGCCTCTCATCAGAAACCCTAACATCCCAAATGAAATCATGTAAAGCCAGCCTGTCTTCTAAGATGACATGTGATGGGCCTAGCCGTCCTCCCACGAAAGCATCGCCATGAACATCTTGAGGGTATCTTTTGGTTGCTTCATGTTGTTTCTATGAAACCATCCTGAGCCATGATCAGCCCTCCAACGGCATGTTTCAAGTACTGCCGGGCTCTCTTTAGCCTGGCGGGGAGCAATTGTCCAAAGGATTCCATGCCAACATGGAACATCTGTCTGCCGAGTTGTCAAAGCTGAGCACATGTCTTCAAGTGTCCAAACTGTGCGTTTCATGGTGTTGACTGCTACAGGTTAAAAAGGGCCAAACATCAAATTTCCAGCGGTTGCAACATTTCCGGGTCTACTCGCCCAAACTGGCGTGAGCCTTGCGCAAGGGCGGCACAAAGAGGAGCAGCAAGATGTAGATGAGCTGCGCGAAATCTTCGAGTGAGGAGCGCCCGAGGCCAAGACAACTACGGTCAACATGGTTTTATTAGGGTCCTGCGATAAGCCCACCAAACCAGGCAGAACCGCCTTCTCAAGTGGCCAACTGGGGTTTTGGGCGCTCCTCTAGTGAAAGGGACACCAATGGATAAGAAAGGGTTCATGTGAGCTCACAATATTACTAGCAAATTGATGCGTGATCACCACCAAAAGCAAATTCCCATCAACCTGCATTCCTGTTAGGGGACCACCCAAAACGCATGCCATGGTAAGATCGCACGTTGCTCATGTGTCTAGGATTTGTTTAAAGGAAACCTCCAAAGTGGTTGGTGCATATCCCAGCCTAATTTGTGTCCAGGGTCCCAATTAAAACTCACACCCATGTGGGTATGTCTTTTTTTAGGGGGGTCGGGAGACGGGGTTAAAATTACATGACAATTGTATTTGAGAGTGTTCCGACTATTGCCATGCTCCCCGTCAAGAACCACACCCATGTCATCAAAGCGTCCCATATCTTGGCGCACCGTGTGGAGCTGATCAATTGGACCCTTGGTATACACATGAGAACACCTGTTCCGAAGAACTTTCAAGCTATACCACTCAGCAGTTTATTGTTTCGCGCACACACACACACAAAACAACACAGTGGGCAGTTTCAACAAATTGATGGCAGAAGCAATCAATTCGTTGTCGTTCGGAACATGTTTCCGACACCTCTTTTTTGGGAGAGTTGAAACGCCATTTGCATGATGCCGAAATTGGCCCATATCCCGAGCTGGGATTAAAGAAACAACGTCACCTAGGCCTCAGAGTGCACCGGGTAGAACCTTTGACAGCTACGGGATCTCCGCTAATCTCATTGGGGGAATGCGCAATACTATCTGTCTACGCGATGCTGGAGCTGACGAAGCCTTCACTTTTTCTCCCAAGTGCAAGCACGCCAACTTTCGCTTTCCACCAAGTGGTAAACAAAATAGCTTTGGATTCACAGCCTTTGGCCACTACCTCAGATATATATTTTTTTCTGTCGAGTGGCTTGGCTCGTAATTAAACCAACTTCAATGATCAGCCGGGATCCGGTTTGACTAGTCTGTTCCCTCCTGTTGTAAGCAAAGAACAGGCTGCTTCATCCAAGTAGCACGCCAACATGTTGAACTGTTGGAATTTTCAGCGATCTACTCAACATGTCACACCCTTCTTGAAATGCCGCAAAGAGTTGCAACACACCCACGAAGTCCCGGCTCCTGTATGCTTCACTCTGCAGTTTCTGTTCACACAAAATGTCCAATCTTCGCACTACCCGCACTACATCGAAACCTCATAAGTTCGTGTTGACCAATCTTTCTTTAAACAAAAAACAAATAGGATGGAATGGAATATCAAGCAATCCCTAGAACATGGGATGGAACGCTGGGCATCCCCGCAAGAAGCACACCTCAAGACAGGGAGGGCATTGGCGCTTGCGCCCGTTGAGCAGAACGATCCCTTCCGAACATTCGCTAAGTTGGCCATAGTCGCTAGGGAAAAATGCGGGGGGGGGGGGGTTCTCAAATCAGGGGGTCCTCATAAAATGCTTGGCTTCGTTTTGGATTGATGCTTTGATATCAAGCATTATGGGGGTCCATCATGTGGAGAAACTGCACATGGCCCCAATGTTGTTGGTCCTGCTCAGGGACCCGACCGTGCGACCAAGAACAGTAAAGGGACGGTGAGCAAGTAGGGCTTAGAAGGGTCATGGATCTGTGGTACATCGGACTCCAGCCCGACACCGCATAGAAACAAACAAGCCATCAAGCCTCTGAGCGAATTGGATGGTATCTTGAATTCCTGTCAATGCCCATAACTGCCATAACTTCTCAAGCCCTCAGTCGAATGAACTGAGAGTCTCCAAGCTTCCGGCCAAATGGTTGATATCATGGTGGGCTTCGAACAGAAAACAGGCAGCTGTCCATATGTTTGATGTACAAATGGGCTGGGCTGCATGATTGCCGTGGCTTCTGTTCGGTCAAACCTCCAGGTTCATGTTCATGCCAATGCCGAGAAACCTCGTTCATTTGAACTCCACCAAAAAGGTATCGAGTTGGAACAACCGTGGTCAACCAATGACAGCCTGAATCATTGCAACAATGGGTCCGACAAGATCCACGCAACCGGGTGCCAGCAGGTTACTTTCAAATTCAGGGCAGTCACATTTACATCTGGGTGAGAGATCTTTGCTAAAA